TTTATTTATATTATAAAATAAAACTGTAGAAAATACAAGATTTATGAAACTTGCTGTATGTTCACAAAAACAAAATTAAAACAGTGGCAGCTATGATTTATTCTTAATAGCTACACTGTCACTTTTACTTTATAAAAAATTTATTTTATGATCAGAACTTAAAGGATATTTGATATTTGCAAATTAATGATATTTACTTTGCACATCTTTAAAATAAACTCAATGACTAAATACAATAAATATGAATGATTTAAATCAGTGTTTCCCAATTAGTTTTTCCTGCGTAGCACTTCAAGAAAGAGCTCAAACTCGCATACCCCTTAAAGCAGAAATTCATATTAATCCATCCTAATATTATAAATTTGAAGGTAATTCTGTCTGTCTGTAACCTTTTCACGTCTAAACCGCTGAACAGGTTTTAATAAAATCTGGTACAGAGATAGCTTACATGTTGGAGATGGACATAGGCTACATTTTACTGCCAGAAAATATCTTACTCCCACAAGAAAATTCGATATAATGTGGGCGAAGCGGTAGGTAGACAGCTAGTGATAAATAGAATAAGTTTCTTTTTACATTTATTACCTTTAAAATACAATTCTAATAGTAATGAAAATAACATAAGGTTATTTAATTTTAATGTGACAAATGTGCACGAGTTTCTTTGCACAACTTTGTAAAATCTGGTTGGTTTTTGGTCAGCTTCAGTCTCAAGTCATCTTCGAGTTGAAGTCAGTGACGATGTTTAGTTTTCATGTTTGTCATGACTGAAAATCCGCTTTCGCAGAGGTATGTTGTGCAAAATGGTAGTAAATATTTTATTGCCGCTTTGCTGACATGATAATAATGTTAATTGTACAATTTTTGTTTCCTGCGTAAGAATTTCATTTAGGTAGTGTCACAAATGCATTCTTTTGATGAAATTTCAAGAATACTTTTAGTTATAAATAAATGAATTTGTGCATTCAACATCATGTTGTAAATTGCTGAATTTTTGATGATCCACCCGTTATTTTTTTGATTGCTTCATCTCATGTATTTAAATTTTAAATCGACTAATTTCAGATTGCCGTGCGTACCCCTTCATGCAATTTCGCATACCCCCAGGGGTAAGTGTACCACTAATTGGGAACCATGGATTTAAATTATTTAACATAATTTATTAATTTTATTAACAGATGATTAAAAAATTACAGACATATCTCACTTCAACACTTTGCTTTACAGCACTATAATTAATAATACAATGCTTTTCCAATTATATTCATGTTTATTATTTTTGCACTTTACCTTGTTTACCTTGACAGTGGTTTTCACAGTTTATTTTTATTTATTATTTTTATATTTGCATCATTTTATTAGTCTAGCATTTGAGTGTGCACTTAATGACAGTTTTTAGGCATTTATATGCACTGGAAAGAGAAAAAAGCCGTGATTTACTTTAAGGCAATATTTGCTTTATTGCAGTGACCTAACACATCATATTAGCAAAGTACGCCTGTACTATAAATATTTATGAAACAAATTCTCAAATCTCAATGACTCAAACTTCCCTTATTTTATATTTATAAAATACATTTAAATTTTCCAAAAACGATTATGTTATGGATCAAGTGATTAATAGGGCATTATTCATAATGCCCAGCCATTATGAATAATGACTAAAATAGGCATGCAGTTTGATAAATGTTGATTATTCATAATGTCTGGTCAATTTAATAAATTAAAGCTACATTTCCTTTGAGCAATTTGTTTAAAAAAAATACTCCACTTTTTCATTTAGAATTATNTCTCAAATCTCAATGACTCAAACTTCCCTTATTTTATATTTATAAAATACTTCTAAAAAATTCACTGAATTATATACATCCTGAAATCTTGTCATCCTAATAATTACATACAATTTAAGAATATGTAAAAACCAAAAAACTAAAAATTTACTGAGAATACTTTTGTCTTTCATATATTTAAGATTTCCTCAATCTAAATAGGATATAGATTTATGATTTTTTCTCTTTTCAAGCATCATATTCAGTTTACAAATAGATTTAAATGAAGACTTGTTAAAGATCTATGAGAAAATCCTACATATATATATGTAGTTCTGAGTATTCCAAAGCTTATTCAGGTTATAATCAAATTCAACATCTCACTTTACAAGCCATGAAGGTTACAAAAATAACTCCAGCATTGCTAGAACTATTTATATAAAAATTCTAATTTTATTTTTGATATTAATAAATTCTTTAATATAAATGGACTATGAACTCTGAAATGAGAGTGAGTTAAAATTAAATTAATGTACTTGATTAAAATTCAAGAAAAATAAATAAATAACACTTGAAATGATATCAAGATATCACATTATCACGAGGTTGGTGTAAAACTAGCATTTGTAATGTCTTTACACAATTTTCAAAAGATCGAACTTTGAATTTCGAGTCCTGCATAATAGACAGATGGCATGCATATATGTGTAAATAAATTATAAATTTGATACACTCTGAATAATAAACTAACAAACTATTCAAGGTCAATTCATTAACATAAAACAATGCTTCCTAGACTTATATTTCACTAAAGATATAATAGTCCTGCAGGATAAACTATCATTCCATAATGAACAACCTTGAGAATGTACAAAATTTGTACTCTAAAAACAGATTTTGTTTTAACTAAATTATAAGGCAAGACAACTTCTTTTGTTCTGTTGAAGAAACAGTATCATTAATGTTCATCCTAATGATAGACGAAAGAAGATAATTGTGATGAAAAATAAGTTCTCTAAACCATAAATAAGAAATAAATTATTTTTTTATAATCTAAATTTTAGCTCAATCTAGATAAAAACATGTTTACTTAGCCCTAAAACTTAAAGCATGTAAAAAAAAATTTGAATCTGATTGCTTCCATTACTGTACACAATAAAATTATTTAAACATTTTGGTATCAAATCCAGCAAAAATTCTTTAAATTATAATGGTAAAATTCATTACATCAAAACACCATACTTAAGCTCACTTATTGGCAAGAGTTCTGGATAATCTCTTTGAATGATACAACTTATCCGATCGTTCAAATATGAATTGAGTAGCCATATAAAATGCCCACGCGCGTCTAAAAGAATTTTCATTATTGCCTACTTCTACATGCAGCGTAGGCTAAATATTCCCAAAAGATAAGCTTATTGAAAACCTGATTCCACGTGTTAAGATAGGAATTTGATTAATGAATTTTAATAAGTTCAAAATTCTAGACTGAAAAAAAAATTATGTTAAAGATAAAAAAGTCATAGAACATGTTAACCGGTTACAGAAACATCGAACACAGTGATGGATGTAACGCCTACGCTCATCACACATAATAAAACGGGATAGCAGCGGCCACTTCTGGTCATGCCTTCAGATATCATCTAACAAACAAAGCACCTGCTCCATAGTCGACTTCTATCAATAGCACAATCCTCTGTCGACATTAACACGAGTAATTCGGGTAATTTTATCGGCCTTCCTAGCTCTATTTTTGTCTCTAATCGTGAGAAACGATCCCCGCGAAAGACAGGAGGCCCAAACAGTCTGCTTGCAATTGGACAATGCTGCACTATGCCAAGAAAAAAAAAATGGATAAATTAATATTTTCCCGTATCAAAAAACCCTTATTTTAGTAATTATCAAGTTTTTCTCGTGGATGGAGAGTATTTTCAATCAGTTTTAATTACCACGTGACAAAAGTTTAGAAAACATTTACCAGTAATTCCACGTCGCCGCGATGATGATGATGATGATGACGATGACGATGGTAGTTAAAAATGAAGCAAAAAAAAAAAAACGGGATAAATTAACATTTTTTAATGAAATTTCTCTAGTAAATGATCGCCCATTTTCGATTTTTAGCGCATAATGTAAACCCTGTAATCAGTTTTAATTGCACACGACATTTAAGCGAGAGTGACGAGAATATTATGCTTTAAAACGGCGGAAGTAGTAGACAAATTAGTAGTTTTTATGCAGTTAATCGTCTAAATTATCATCAGATTAATCTTATTTCTCATTACGGAAAACTTCAACCAGTTGACCAGGGCGATACGAGAGTGTGTTAGAAAAAATATTTGTATCAACTCATCGTCTAATCATCTTGATCAGATTTTACACACTTGATGAGAAATTTCAATTAATATGAACAGATTCGTGACGAGAAGAAAGGCTAGGTAACAAACAAAGCTTTTTTTCCCCATTCGTGGTTAAAATATAAACAGCTTCTTACTTCACCAGGCACCTGTCTAGTAATATCAACACGGAGTTTCTGAAGAAGTTGGTCTAAACAAGCAATGAAAAAACAAAAAAAAAATGCAACTTCCATCGTCCCAGATTTCGTCTTTCACGTTAAAAATGATGAAAATTGTAATCTTCGTCCTTTTTAAATAGAAATTTAACCTTTCTCCTGTAAGTTAAGGTTTCAGAATAAGATTTCCTCCATATCTACAGAGAAAAACACCGTTGAATCACGCAAACAGAAACTATGTATAGCTATAAAAGACGATTTACCTAGTCTAAACTTCTAGTAAAATAAAGCAAATTAAATTTATATCTAGCGAATAATGCGAGGAAAGTCGCTTTTCCTCTTGATAGAATCATAAACGCGCGTTGATATCACATCAAAAACAATAGAATATGTAGGACAGAGCCGGGAGATGGGGAAGGAAAAACAACGCTTCAAGTTCACTAATTCTCATCTGCGTGGAAAATAAGTATTATAGGAAAAAACCATCCCCTTTATTATTAAAAGATTGCATCTGAATGTAACATCCAGGGCGTAAAAGATAGCGTGTCACGTCAGAACATTCACCAGTCGAACGCTAGATATGGGCATCAGCAGGAAGATAATTGTTATGCATCATTACTCGATTCGTATCGCATAAACAAAACCGACATTTTAAGCAACTATGTGGAGCAGCATCGGTTCCTATTGAGTCATAAATTACCACTTAATTACAAGCTTACCTCAACGGTTTCGCCACTTATCTATCCAGTTTCGCCTTAAACAATATCGCTTGGTTACTTTGATAACATTTTTATCATCCTCGCTACGTGAGCCGCTTGTTGCTGGTACTTTAATCAGTCAAGTTTATGAGGCAATATACTGTGACGAGAGCGCGCTTGGCCTAGTAAAGCTTTAATCCAAGTTGGAATTGTCCCAACGACACCCCTCGCAGTCTGCAACGTACTGAAAACAATAATAAGCACACGATGTTCCCTCGTCCTTGAAAGATTCACATGATGAAAATTCAAGGTTTCCGATTACTTAAGCTAATTGCAGCTGGCTGATTAGCATTTCCCGTCGTTTTCTGTGGTGCAGAATTTAATTGCGTCAAGCGAAACGTCATCTTTTAAGCAGTGACGATCCCGATGACACTTCCTCCTACCGCAACAATATACAGTATTCGAAATATGACATGGATCACGAACAATAACAGGAAGAACCAATGCAACGTATGACAGGTTAAGTGATGATGGCTCGGACAGCGGGAGATCAACGTCCAGAGGAAAATTATTTTCTATAATAAGGTGCTTCCCGAATGTCTTTACACCTGACTGTTTCCATTAACTGTTTACTTACTTTATATATATATATAACTAAGCTACCGTGCAAGACTAACGAGAGGTAAAAATTTTAAGTTCTCGGCCTAGCGGGTTCTCTAATTTATAATGCCAAAAGTGAATATTTTTAGAGCGAAATTTTGGAGTATTTTAAGAATGTATCCATCAGAAAAGTAGACGTCTATGCGCAGGTTGTGTAGGAATGTCGTAAGCTCGTGAATTTAAAATATGAACTCCAACCTCTAGAAAAAATACCTCCCCAAAACCCATAGTATCCCACCCAATGACAAATTTCAAAATGCAACTATGAAAATCTAAAACGTCATACGAAGAAATATTTAAATATGTAAATTATCACAAACCAATTGAATCATTAAAGAATTTGCCCTTGTAATTTCTGATCTCTATGAAGAATTTTAAAATATTAAATTTAACGTGCAGAAACCATGATTTAGAAAACGATGTGAATCGTTAATTTCAAAGTTTAACGTATTAAATTCGTCATCTGAAGCACGAACTTTGAATTTTTAACACCTGGACACCGCAAAATTTGAACCACTCCGATATCTAATTACACGAATTTAATCAATTTTAAGTACGATCCGAATCCCTAACCTTTATATCAGACTTCGAAATTCCACACTAAACTAAGAACTGCTCCGAAATATGATTGATACTCTAAAAAAAGTATCAAAACAAACCGTCAGACACATAAATCTCGGCAAATTTCCTGAACTCTCTAGACAGGAACCTCACAAAAAAATGCCTCAAAATATGAAAATAAAATTCTCTATTCTAGTGAACTTTTTATGACTTTATAATATAAATTAAATAAGCTTTTAAATTAAATTGAAGCCTGCAGAATTGCGCCTGAAGCCCGTTGAAATATTTACTTGATCTCTAAAAAAACGGGAGTCAACACGCAACGAGTAAATCATATCTAGAGCCGAAAACGACGTACTAAATGTGAGATAATACAATAAAACGAGGTGGGCGTTACGAACTAGAATGTTTTTAAGCAGGCCACTGGTTGTTCAAGGCGGTCCACTTCCTGTAAATTGCATTTTAGACATCATTTTCGAAACGAAAAAAAATCGAGTTGTTGAGGGTAACGAGTCAGAGCCAAGCTAAAATTTACTAAGAGAAAGGCGACTCCCGACCAGAAAACGAACAATGCTACAATTCGATCTGGAAAGTTCGTATTACCATCGAGCATCAGTACTTTGCACCATGGAGTAAAGCTATTTAAGACTGTCTGCCACGTGTTGCTCTCGAATCGATTGATGTACTGTACCTCCGGAACCTCATTGGTTATTAGCGCATATAACTACGTGACCCTATTCTGTCGAAGCAATTCATCCGCTTCATCATTTGCGTAAAGTGAAGAAAAAGAAAAAAAAACCAGTTTTTTTAAGTAAAATGCGGAAATGGAGGAACGTAGCTGTTGCTCAGCCATCTTTTATTTATTTTTTTAAGTGCGATTTTAACTCGATAAGTAGTAGTAGTGTGTTCGAATTCTGGTTCCCTCCACCCACGATGTGACCTCTGATTAGAACTAGCCCTTTCAACACGCGACTCATGACTCAAATGCTGCACGATCGTGATAGAAAGTAGTCACGAAAACAGGTGGCTAGAAAACCGAACGCGAGAAAGAGAGAGGGGACACGAAGGTCGAATGATAACTTACAGTTTATAGATTAAAAAAAAAAGAAGAAAAACTATTTTTGATAAGAAAGTTTCGTTAACCGAGCGAGTTTTGAGGGAACACGTTAGTGGTTCCGAGCTATAGGGTAAGTGACCATTACACTCGGTTATTGAACTTGCTACAGGTTCAAGTCCAGTGCAAAATACAAACATACCTTTTTTTCCATCGGCACTCGATTTTAATCAGGATTAAGATAATGACAAGCCTCTAAAATGAACCGGCGTCGGAACTCTTAAAAAATAGAATAATTACACGATCTCAACACCATCCCAAATAAGGTCCGACCTTGAAAACACTATCCAAATGGGCTTGTCCTGGTGTCAACGTCTGCACCCGAGCCATCTGTACAATGTGGAGCGCTTCCTATACTTCTTGCTTCCACATATGTTCCTTGAACGGGAGACGAAAAGATTCCCCTTCCTTCCTCTTCCCTCCTAAAATAACAATGGGTAGTTCCACCGAGAGTTGAATGGGAACAGACGGAAGGGGACATCTTTTCATGTGTCTTTAAGTAAGTAGTTATAAAAATGTTTTCTCTAACCTTACCTTGTTCCGATATGGCGTTTGCCACCTTAGCCATGCAGAAGCGATCACATAGTAGTAGCGTGGGAAGATACGCAAGACGGTCGGAAGTAGTACTGCTCGGTTACTCCAACACTCGAGTGAGCCAGTGAAGGAATTACAGTGCGACTCGCTCCCCAAACGGCAGTATTAAGAACTAAACCACCGGTCAGTCGAGCGTAACTCACTTAGTCCAGGTGAGAAAGCAGAATTGATGGCAATTCGGTCATCGAATAAATAGAAATCGAGCGAGTTACCACAGTTCTGGTTCAGATTCTTTTTTTTATTAATGACAATAGCAAACTACCGTTCATTGCAAGCAGAAGTCATTAGTCAAGGTTGAAAGGTTGAATGATCGGTACAACAATGACATCTTCGAGCCAAGATGGATAAAGACAGACTTTAATCGAATGTTTATAGATGCGTGCAACCATCTCCTTAAGTAATTCAATATAATCAATCAAGGGGCCTCCTAGACGTGAGCTCCGATTATCAATCACTACGTCGTTCGTCGTCGATGCTTCCTTTTTTTACATAGACCGGTTGTTAGTAATGATGAAAATTACGACTTTCTGCGGGATTAACAGGTAGCCAATTTTATGAAGTCGCTCTCCATCGAGTGTCACAACAAAATGCACTTGACAAGTGACTCAACTGATGACTCTCGCTGAGTCATCGTCTATTCCTTACTGCTCCTGCCCTGGTTTCCGATCGCAGCCAATTTTTTTTCTTCTCTTTTCTTTAACTTTTGTAGATGTAACCCTGATAAAAACACATGAAGGTAATTCGAGGCTCAATTATAGCATTGTCTACAAGAATTAAAACACAAAAACGCTCCTTTCGAACAAAAAATGGCGCCAGTTATTCGACTCTGGTGACGCCATACCGATAATAAGTTAAAGTACCACGTGGCATTCATCTCTTATTACTGTTAAATGGTATGACGAAAATTACACGGATAGAGAATCGTGTATCCATTAATTAAGTAAATCATTAGCTGAATATTGTGTAAACAAATTGCTTATAAAATTCACTAGAGGCAGGAAAAGCTTATATTTCATAAGGAAAAGAAAAAAAGGGGCTTCCAACGACGCGTTTCTATAATTATGCGTGACTTAAACTTTCAATTATACAGCCGTTTGAGTGAAATTGTAACTAAATTACTCAATATATGACGTTCTGTCCGACAACAAGAAATCACATTCGAGTTTCTAATACGGAATAGAGCTTCCTACTATACTTTTAAATTAAACATTTATATTACTGACTCTCTGTACTTTAATGAAATCATGAGGGTAATAAATGCGGTGCCAACATTTATAAGGAAATTTAATGATCTTTTAGCATTTTGGCTAGCTTTCAAAAACATTAATCACACCTTACCGAATAGATAAGAGCGTTAAAGATTTACTAAAATGAAGAAATTACTTGTAGATATTGAAATTTCTGCAGTATTAGAATTTTAAGCGTAGTTTCTGCACTTTGATATATGTTTATGTATGCGAAACCCTTTGCATCTTAATGAATCCGTTTAAGAGCAGCAAAAAGTGATTTCTGCACGTAAATAAACCTGTATGGCAACCGAAACCATGTTAAAAAGCAGTCCAGAACAAAAAAAGCATATTAACAAGTGTTAAAAGGGTCGATTTACGCTGAAAAACGAGCCATTTCTCATTTAAATTAAGAGGATATCGTGTTCTAGTCAAGTATTTTCTTCATCCAAACAAGCGATCTCCAGGTTAATCTCCAGAAATTGCGTAATTATCGAACTTCCGGTCAACTTCTCCCCCTGCATATCGCAATTTTTCGGATATCCTGTGTAAATCTGATAAAAAATAAATTCCTGCACAAATTGCATAAAAACTGGATCTATGTTGCATTGATTTGTCACAGAGAAGATAGCATCTCTGGGAGAAAAAAAAAACTGATTTAATATGAAACAAATGTAACACTATGATGTAATTCTACTCCTCTCTTCCCTCTACTCCTAAAAATGTATTTTAAAAACGGAAATTTGCTCTATGGAATCTATAAAGATTAAAAAAAATGAAGTCAAGATGATATTAATTAATATTCAAGATAGCTTATCTTTATTCCCATCTTATACAGGCCATACTGTACACTTAAAATATGAAGTATCTATCATATACCTGTTAAAATAAAATAATGTTGGTGAGGATGCAAGAAAAATTACAAAAACTATTCCAAATGTAATTTATCTTCCTCATTTAAGAAACCACAAAAACCACTTCACTTGACTTTGAAACATGCTAACCATCCCCTAATATGATGAGAACACATAAAGAACTAAGTTAAAAACTAATAATTTTTTAAAATTAGTTCAAATTACATAAGAACAGACAGGTAATCTCTTCCTGAATTAGTCTGAAAGAAGAGGAAATAGGATTACCAGCAAGAAAATTTAGTGAAAGTTGTCCATATTCATCAAAAGGTAAAGCTTGCTTTAAAAAGCAATTTTCCAAAAAAAAAAAATAAGTGTTTGAAGACAAATCTTTTTTACTAAATTAATCAATTAATTAAGAAGTGGCTCAGAAATTTTCAGGAGATGGTTGACCTGGATATGTCATGCCTTGTCCCTCTTCATCTGACCAGACAAAGGATACAATAAAAAGCCTTCTTGGTGCTCACGGGATGAAACAAATTTTAAAACAAAATAATTACTTGACAAAAACAAAGCTATAAAACCAATCTTATTATTAGTGCTTTCTTATTATTATCATCATCATCAGTGCCTTTTACTTTACATGAAATAGAAATATGTGAACTCCATATAAAATTATAATTAAATTTATAACATAAAACTTAATCAAAAGTGTATTTTAAATAATACTTAAAAATGCAAGCATGATGGAAACAATTTAAAATCATAGCACTCAAAGAATATCTGCATATATATTAATTATACTTTTCCCATATCTATATATATACAATATTTATTCTCATTATAAAAGCATACAAATTAGCACCAAGGTATAAAATGTGATAAAGGTAAAACTGTTTGGTTCAGGTAATCAAAGTTTTATTCAAAAACATTTTCAGCTTATAATCAGGCCATTCTTACCTTAAATATAAATTGAATGTTACAGAAGAAAGTTAAAAATCTTTGAACAGTGGCATCATGTATGATCAATATGGCTCTGGTCATACCAATATTTTATTTATTAAATCATTAATACTTACTTGGGAAAATAGTTTGGTAAAAATATCTTGAGAAATGATATAAATACATCAAGATATTTTTTATTTTAGGCACCAAATATTGTTTTTACACTACTGTCTTTGATTACCTGAATCAAGCAATTTCAATCCTTATCCTGCTATTTTGTCTTATTTATGTATAAAAATACAGATCATAGATTCCTGGAAAGTCCAAATCTGATCATGGGTCTCCTGTTCTCTGCAATAATCATTCTTGTTAGGTGACTGTTTACCACTAAGTTAATTGAAAGTGATTGTCTCTAAAGCTACAATCAGTAATCTAACAGAGACAGAAATTTAGCAACAGAGGTTGCAACTAAACAAATTTAATAGCATTAAATGATTCACAATGCAAAAATACACAAATTACACAGATATCAGCTCAAAAACCCAATGTATAGTTGATGCCAAACAAATAGCTGCATTATCAGGCTATAATATCACTAATATTAATTACATAGCCATATTGTAGACAAATAATTTGGCAGTTTGTTTGGCATATATACAAATTGTGTTTTACATATGTTATTGTATTTGATTGGTTTATAGCAATGGAATCGAGTATATAAATAATAATTATATAAAAATCACTGAACAAATCACATATACAGGTTTGAGTCATTAGTTTCATATGAATGTAAAAGGAGAAAATCATATTTTATTACATTACTAAATATTCAAAAAACTAGCGGTTGTACAGTTTCAATTTATACTTATGTGGCAACTGGCTTTAGTTTGCTTTTACATTTGCATATAAAAAATATGTATTAGTAGCAAGGTATAACACTGCTTCCTTGAATCCCTTCTGGCTGCACTGCTCTTAATAAAGAACTAAACAAAAATAATACAACTCATTTTTACTATTTGCAGAATTTTTATCTGTGCAAAACAATTATCACTCATACTTTTTTGTTTTAAATTTAAAAAATCATAATTTATAATAAATTAGTTAATTTTAAGTAACTATTATTGATTAATTCTACTCTACTTATAGAGAATTTCTGAGAAAAGTTTAAATTATTTTAATGAGCCTTGTCAACAGAACTGACAATTTAAAAAAGTAGAGCATGAAATAGAAGTGTTATGCAATAAAGTGCATCATGATGTGTATATTTATATTTACTTTGATAATTTTATTGACTTTTTCATAAATAATAGGCCATACGTCCAATTATGATAACAGAAATGGTAAAAATTTGATTGTATGTAAGAGGTTCATTGAACTATATTCTAATCATATTCAACAGAAATTATGATTAATGTAACAGTAAATAGGGCATAAACATATAATATTTAACAAAATATTAAACTTTATCTTAAAATT